GACTTACTATTTTTAAAATGTCCATAATACTCAAAGGCAATTATAGAGTCAATGTATTCTATATTAATATCCCAATGGCTTTTTTTTTTTTACTGAAATAGAAAAAAAAAAAATCAGGGCGCCTGGGTGGCTCAGTCGTTGGGCATCTACCTTTGGCTCGGGTCATGATCCCGGGGTCCTGGGATCGAGTCCCGCATTGGGCTCCCTGCTCGGCGGGGGGTCTGCTTCTCCCTCTCCCACTCCCCCTGCTTGTGTTCCTGCTCTCGCTATCACTCTCTCTGTCAAATAAATAAATAAAATTTTTTAAAAAAAATCATAAAATTCATTTGGACTACAAAAAACCCTGAATATACAGAGCAATTTTGAGAAAGAACAAAGCTGCCAGCATCACACTTCCTGATTTCTAAACTATATCACAAAGCTACACTAATTAAAACAGTATGGTACTGGAATAAAAACAAACATACTTACCAATGGAAAAGAATAGAGAGCCAGAAATTAACCTACACATATATGGTCAAATGCTCTTCAACATAAAGTCCAAGTACACACAGCAGGGAAAGGAACAGTCTCTTCAACAGTGTTGGGAAAACTGGATATCCACATGCAAAAGAATTAACCTGCACCCTTATCTTACACTGCACACAAAAATCAACCTAGAATGTATTAACAATTTAAATTTAAGACCCGAAACTGTAAAACTTCCAGAAGAAAACCAGGGGTCATGATCCCAGGGTACCAGGATAGAGCCCCAGGTCAGGCTCCCTGCTCAGCGGGGAGCCTGCTTCTCCCTTTCCCTCTGCCGTCTGCCCCCCTCCCTGCTTGTGCACTCTTTCTCTCTCTCTCCCCCGTCAAATAAATAAATAAAATCTTAAAAAAAAAAAGAAAGAAAAGAAAAACGGGGAAAACTTTATGATGTTAGACTTAGCAATGACTTTTTAAATATGACACCAAAAGTACAAACAATAAAAACAAAATCAGGCAAAAAAACCCCAAAAAAACAAAAAAACAAAATTAGGTAACTGGGACTACATCAAACTAAAAAACCTCTGTACAGCAAAGGAAGTAATCAACAGAGTTAAAAGGCAACCTATGGAATAGGAGAAAATATTTGCAAAGCATGTATCTGATACATTATTGATATTCAAAATACGTAAGAAACTCCTACGACTCAAGGTAAAAAAAAATATGATGAAAAAATGGGCAAAGGGCTTGAACAGACATTTCTCCAATAAAGATTCAGCCATAAAAAAGAATGAAATCTTGCCATTTGTGACAGCATGGATGGACCTAGAGGGTATTATGCTAAGTGAACTAAGTCAGACAGAGAAAGATGAATACCATATGACTTCATTTATATGTGGAATTTAAAAAACAAAACAACCTAACAGAACAAAACAGAAACAGACTCAGATACAGGAAACAACCGGTTACCAGAGGGGATAGTGGGGGGTGGGGGTCGGGGTGGGGGGTGGGGGGCGGGGTGGGGGTGGGGACGGCAAGCAAAATAGGTGAAGGGCATTAAGTACAAACTTCCAGTTATAAAATAAATAAGTCATGGAGACGTAATGTACAGCCTAGGGAACATAATCACACCGTAATAAATTTGTATAGTGACAGACGGTAACCAGACTTATAGTGGGGACCATTTTATAATATATAAAAACATCAAGTCACTATGGTATACATCTGAAAGAGAGTATTTTATGTCAATTATAATTTTAAAAAAAAGACATACAAATGGCCAACAGGTACATGAAAAGATGCTTAACATCACTAATCATCAGGGAAATGCAAATCAAAACCACAATGAGTTATCATCTCTGTCACAACCATTAGGCTGGCTTTTATGAAAAAAAAAAAAGATAACAAGTGTTGGCAAGGATGTGGAAAACTAGAACCACTGTACACTATTGGTGGGAACATAAAAGGTGCAGCTCCTGTGGAGAACGGTATAGCGATTCCTCAAAAAGTTAAAAATACAATTACCTTGTAATCCAGCAATCCTACTACTGGTTATAAATCCAAAAGAATTGAAATCAGGATCTTGAAGAGATATATGCACTGCCAAGTTCACTGCAGCAATAGTCACAACAGTTAAGACATGGACACAACCTAATTGCCCATGATCAGATGAATGGATTAAAAAAAAAAGTGGGGAGTGCCTGAGTGGCTCAGTCGTTAAGTGTCTGCCTTCAGCTCAGGTCATGATCTCAGGGTCCTGGGATCAAGCCCCACTTCGGGCTCCCTGCTCAGCGGGAAGCCTGCTTCTCCCTCTGCTTCCTCTCGTGCTCATACTCTCTCTCTTGCTCACTCTCTAATAAATAAGATCTTTTAAAAAAAATAAAGAATAAGTGGTCTATACATACAATGAAATATTATTCAGCCTTAAAAAGGGAAATCCTGTCATATACAACAAAATGGATGGACGTGGAGGACATTATGCTAAGTGAAATAAGCCAGTCACGGGACAAATGCTGCATGATTATACTTACATAATGTATCTAAAATAGTCAAATTCATAGAAACAGAGTAGAAGGATGGCTGCCAAGGGCAGGGGAAGGGGAGCCCAGGGAGCTGCTGTTCAGCAGGTATATAGTTCCAGTTGTGAAAGAGAAATAAGTGCCAGAGATCTGTTGTACCACACTGTGCCTAGAGTTAATGATATTGTATCGTGCTCCTAAGAATTTTAAATGGCAAATTTCATGTTAAATGTTCTTACCACAATAAAAATAAATAAAAATGTTCTCGAATTCTCAAAGATTTTTATTCAAACAAACCTAGCTTAAGATATAATTAAAACAGTGTGTATATATATTTAAAAGGCCACTTTAACTTTATTTTCACCAACTACCTAAAATAAAGATCATAAAGACATAATCTATGTAAAGTGTTTCAGGCCAATGCTTGGTTCACACTGAGTAATTAATTACTGTGATTGTCTGTCCTTCCTTGCAACAATCTTCAGAGTTGTGTGGGTCTAGCATCATCAACCGTGCCCTCGTACATGCCCCTCTTTATGCGGCTGCACAAGAAGATCCAGTGTTGGAGAAAGCTTCCAGGTCTTATTTTAATCCACACCTGTGAACATGGAAAGATGAGCTAACTTTCTCTTTCTGAAGAGACATCTACCCCTTTCCAGTAGTGCTGTGTTGTTCTCTAGATTTACAACTCAATCTTCTCCAGAAACACAGCCAGTAAGATAAAACATACAAAGAGCAATGATCTTAGACACCAATCTGCATTTTGTAACCAAGGAGAATGTAGTGAGGAGTCGGCCCCGCCCTGCAACTCTCCTACCCCCTTACCCTGTTCCCCCAAACCCTTGCTAACCTTCCTCCTCATCAATGGCCTTGCCTCATTGTCTACTTCCTTCCCCACTCCTCTCTTCTGTCCCTGCCATCTCCTGCATGCCTGAAAAAACATTTTAGAAAGTCAAGAAGTGAAAACAGCTTCCCCATCCTCCACCAAGTGGGCACAGGCATTTGGCCCTAACCTTTTAAGATGCAAAATGCTCAGATCAAGACAGTCTCCATGGCTGTTACAAGCCCAGCACATCTCATGCTGTGAGCTTCCACACCTTAAATGAACCATCATCCTTCACTGTGATAAATGAAAAAGCAGGCCAATTTAGAAGATAAACATATATATTTGTGCCATCTAAGATTTTAAGAAACATTTGGAAAACTGAGAGTACTGAAGCAACTCAGTAGCTGAGGTTATCTTCCAGCCGAAAACCAAAACCACTTTTCCAAGAGGACAAATGTTTATAAAATACTCTCTTCAGAGTCAAATGTGCAATTTCCTCACCCTCTTTTAAAACACTGACATTTCAGTGGAAGAATTAAGTCAAAAGCCCATGAATTACTGCCAACTGCTATGGTTTCCTTTTCTAAGTCATCACAGCCACCTGTCAAGAAACCGTGGCCTCCTGGCCCCAGGCAAGCTTTTCAAGCTGCCTATCCCGTCTCGAATGACCATTACCATGAAGACGGGTTCATATTACACCCACTGGAAAAGGCTTAAAACCCTGATGATACTGAACCAATATTATTTCAAGTTTTTGTCCGGCACATTATAAGCTTAAACGCGGAGCCAAACTGCAAAGGGTTGAGTCAAGCTCACGGTGTACGAGATAGCACTCTTACAAAGCCCTCCTCCTCTTCCATCTGAAGCAAGCCCGCTTTTAAAATTCAAGAGAATACTCCACCCTACAAAAACCTGGCGTTCCCTCGATTCCCTTTACACTTTATTCACACCAGAAATGCTGAATCATGACTCTGAGATTGTAAAACAAAAACTATTTCGACTGGGACACCAGGATCCCCAGAGAATCCCACGCTCGGCCTTCCTTTGCTGTGCATCTTTTAAAATCTTAAATCCAAGCCCTTCCGCAGACCTGCAGACAGGAAAGGCTCCGGGAGCAGCCAAAGGCTGCAGGTCGGGGGAGTGCCTCCGCTCCCTCCGCTGCGCCTCTCCAAAACCCATGCAGCCCTGGCAGCTCCTGGCTCTCGTCTCTTCTCCTCCGAACGCGACCCCAAAGGGACGGATTCTCTCGCCATCAGCAAGGCTGCCCAACAGCCTCCGAGAAATTCCCAACTTGCAAGCATCCCCACCACAGCCTCCCGTCCGGAACTCTCTGGGCCCGCGCGGTCGCACTTGACCACCGTCCGGCTGGGGTGGGAGTGCGGTAGCAGCTCTACCAGCCCGCAACCAGCCCTTGCCCGAGAGACCAGCCCGCAGAGAGCATAGACTCTTGAGAAACTCGATCCCAACTCCCAGCCCGCGCCTCCCGAACCTCCCCGGGAGCCCAGAGAAGCGGGGCCGGGAATCGCGGCGCAGAGTGGCGTGGACAGAGGAGAGGAGGGTGGTGTGGAGGGGAAGGGGCCGCAAGAAAAGAAACGACCCCCGCCCCCCGAGCCGGTCCCGCAACTTCTCCCAGCTCGGACAAGAGGTGAGGAGAAACTGCGGCGGCTGCGAGCGCGAGGTGAGGGACTCACTTGAATGTGAGGACGCAGAGCGGCCGGTAGGACTTGTGGCTGGTGTTCTCGGCCATGCCCTTGCCCCAGAAGTCGTTGGTGAAGATGCCCCAGCGGAGCGGGGCTCCGGGCCGCACGTCGGGGTTGTTCACGATCGCCCACACGTCGTCGTGCACGAACTCGCCCTGCAGGGAGCGGCCGTAGCACAGGCAGCTCGCCCCGGCCAGCAGCGCCGCGGCCCCGGCCGGCGCGAGTCCGCAGCCCCGCCGCCGGGAGGGCGCGCGGTCCCCGCCGCTGCCTCGGGCAGAGCCCGTCACCACCATCGTGCCGCCGCCGCCACCGCTGCCCTGGCCGCTCCCGGGCGTCTGGCATCCTCCCCGGCCGGGGCCCCGGCGGCGCGCCGCGGCTGCCCGGAGGTGGGCTCGGGCATGGTGCGGCGGCAGCTGTACCCGCCGCTGGCGCCCCGCACTCCGCCGCCGCCTGCGCCGCCGAGTTGGCCCAGCTGCAAATAAACAGCAGTCCCCCCGCCTCCCCCGGCCATCGCCACCTCCTCCGCCCCACTGCGCATGCCCCGCTCGCTCTCGCCTCCACCCGCCCCCCCTCTATCCCCGGACTAGGGCCGCCCCCCACCCCCAGCACCCTCCGCCCCCGCCCCCGCCCCGCTCGCCGCCGCACTCAGCCCCGGGCGCCCGCGTCTCCGGCCGCCGGAGTTCGCGCGCAGGTGGAGCGGGGTCGCGGCGCGGGGCTGCCCGAGAGGCGGAGAAGGGCCACCGGGGTCCTGCCTGGCGCTCCCGGCCGTGCTCACCGCCGCCCCCCCAGTCACGCACCCCCACCCACGGGGAGGGGGAGGGCCTCATCTGCCTGCACCTCCGGGCCTAGGGCCAGGACGGGCTTAGCAGGTGCGCACCCTGAAACCCCCACAACCCCGCTCCGACACCGAGAAAAGTGTCCGCTGCTTGCCGGGAAGTTCCCGGCTTTCAGGACCCCGGACAACAGCGGCGGCAGCGCCCGGCGACACGCTCTCCTGCCCGGCGCCCGGTCCGCGTCTCGTCCCCGGGCCTTTCTGTCCCCCGCCGGCCTGCACCCCGCGCTCGCAGCCTCCGCGTGGGGCGTGAGGGAAACGGAGCTTCCCCAAGCACCTTCCCAAAACCAAGAGAAAGGGTCTCCTGGCCGAGGGCTTCCTGCCCGCCCCGCGCAGTTTGTTCAGGGGGCGCCCCGGGCTGTTTGCCTTTACCGCCCATTGCTCTGCTCGCACTTAGGAAAAGTACCAGGTTGGATTTGGGGTTTGGGTCTGGGCATTGAATTGACTTCTGCAACATTGCTTCTCATTTTATTTCTTACTAAAACTCTTAAGACGATCCAGGAGATGCTTTTTCTTCCCCTCTAAGTGGATCACTTGGGTCTGATGATTATTTCCTGGACTGTGGGCGTGTTTGAACTGTTCCTGCTAAGTCAATACCACTTGAAAAAGAAGAAAAAAAATTAAAACGTTAACGCCTCTGGCTTTGACTCCCAATCTCCCCATTTTTCTGAAAAGTTATTTTCTTTTTCTAAAAATACTAGTTATATATGTAAATAAATTACATATCCCAGAAAGATTACTAGAATGTCTCCAGGTTTGAAAAGTCTGTTAACTCTTTGAGGGCCATCGTAAATTTCCATTGCTGTATGTTACTGAAGTTACCTGGAATTTGACACATCCGAAGAGAAAAAACTTAAAATACAAAATTTGCCATTTATTCCCATCCTTCAAAAATTCTTAAAAGGTTCATTGATCTTAAAAAAAAAAAAGGAAAATAAAAGGCAAATATTGTTCTTATACTGAGCATTTGTGTGACTCTTTACCACACCATTTTTTTTTTTAATTTTAAGATGTATCTGAGCAGTTGAAAACCCAGTGAATGAAGACAAACATATTACAAGTCAAGACGCATTTCATTCATTTCACTTTGGTGATTTGAAACTTAGTGACTGCAAAATGAAACTGAGAAACCCAAGCATGGATGTTTTTATCCTTATGTCAAAACTTTTTGACTCTTGATAGCTTTAATATCCAGGCCCCACACACACCTGAATCTGCCATCTTCCCCGCAGAACACACTACAGCCTTTCCTCTTTGCCTGTCCATCAATTTAATAGAAATATATTAACAGTACACTTTGTGCTACAATGTGCTAAATACTGGCCTGGGTAACCAAAGCGGCTCCGAGTGTGCCTGTGTGGGTGCGTGTATAAGGTTAACACTATAAAAGTCTAACTTTCTAAGTTAGCAGCTGACTAGGATAGTGAAATTGCCTTTGCTGAAATGATAGTAGGTTTAATAAGCCAATATATCAATTCTTTACCTAAAATCCTTACTTTGAGACAATGTCTTAATCCCAAAGAGTGACTAATAATAGATTTTTACAGAGACCTTTTCTCCCCCTCCAATTACCCTTAAATTGCCCAGGTAGGAGTACAGCCCTGCCCACCCCCTTCTTACCTGAGTTGTTTTCCTTTTTAGATGCAAAGAGTTATCAGAGTTCTCCATGACAATGGAGAGAAGTGTAGAAGGACGGGAACTGGACTCCAAACTCCAAAAAGACAATGGAGGAGATAAAGAGGAAGAGATAAAGGAAACCTCCAAGTGGGATTCCAGATTTCTGAGCTTGGTTTCATTAAGTTTTCCTCTACATTCAGTGGCATCTCTATTCTATTTAGTTTGGATAAGTTTGGGATTAATTAACTTTAAGATAGGGAGATACCTCAAAAATCCTCTCAAGCATGAACCAGTAAGTAAATACTTTTTAAAAAATTAAACAGTTCTTTGCAGCCCCATCCCTTCCTATCTCAATCTTGTTCTGTCTTCCAGGAAAACTGTACCAGTGGTGACGTCAGAGATAGGGTTCCATTGATATGCCAGGCCATCATCCCCTCTGCTTCTCTCTTAAGGTGTAAAGCACTCATCTTGGCCAATAAAGGGGCCCAAAAGAAAATGAGATTTCATTCTTGTTACTTAGTCTCTGATTATTTTTAAAGGATTTATAATTGGAGCAATACTTTCTAAGACATCTTTTGTCCACTCAAGAGCAATTTAAAACATAAACTATTACAGAAGTTCCTCTCTGATCGTCATACAGAGTAAGTCACTCGTGTAAATTAAAATGGACCACGGTCCTTAAAGAAATTAGGACACAACTAAAAATAAATCAAGGATAAGTAGGTATTTTACTAAAACAAATTTCAAATTACTGCCCACTATGCTTTTTCAGCCTAATATACACCCCGTTCAGGTATACCCTATATAAAGGGACAAATGCAATGTTACAAAGTCATAAATTCAGAAAGAGTTGATAATGTAATTGATATTAAAAATAAATGTTTGTGGTCTAGTTATTTAACTATTTCCTGCTCTTGAGGAAAATACAGAAAAATAGAAAAAAAGAACAAGAAAATTAAACTATACTCTCCCCACCACTCCCTTGGGCCTGTGGTAGAACAGGCAACACGCACTTTAAGAAGCTGGTCAGCATTAGGCAGGATCAGTGTGGGACAGGCTGAGGTGCCCTGTGGTCTGAGCATTGGCTGCATCCAGGCTGGCCCAGGCTGGAAGCAACAATGGCAGCCGCAGCCCCCAGAAAGAGGAGGGGCTCCTCATGGACATAAACTGGCTTCCACTCCCATCCCCGGATGTATCTCTGCGAATTCTGCCCAGAATTAAAATTAAAGATTATCAAAAAGTATCTGTGATCTTGCTCTTGCTCTCAGGCAATAAACTTCGTCAGCAAATTGCTACAAGATAAAAGCATACCCATGTACATTAAAATAAAGCATAGCAAGTACTTACTAGACTTCTTCAAAGAGATCAGGATCTCTGGTTTTGAAAACCGCTGCAACACTGCAAAGCAAATATCCACAGTCTTTTTTCTTTCTTTTTTTTCTTTTTTTTTTTTAAAGATTTTATCTATTTATTTGAGAGAGAGAGAATGAGAGAGAGAGAGCACGAGAGGGAAGAGGGTCAGAGGGAGAAGCAGACTCCCTGCCGAGCAGGGAGCCCGACGCGGGACTCGATCCCGGGACTCCAGGATCATGACCTGAGCCGAAGGTAGTCGCTCAACCAACTGAGCCACCCAGGCGCCCCAAATATCCACAGTCTTGGAAACAGACCTTTCATTTTGAGATTATTGTATACAACAGAAAAAAGGATTTTCATATGAATGAAATTTTAATTACCTATATTTTATTTTTACACTCTAATTATACACAAATGAAAAAGCCACTTTTCTTGTACAACCTCCACAATTTATAGGAAAGGTCAGAAAAAAATACTAAAATGCTATGTATCAATTTACATTTAAAATTAAATTCAGGCTTATAACAAACTGATATGTATGAAGAGTTAAAATTTTTTAGAAAAATTACCCCATCAGAATCATTAGCTCTAGAAATACTATGATTTATTTTTGAAATAATTTCTCAGAAATGTATCTTCATGTTGTCACAACCTATAAAATACTCTTAACAGTTCTAGTAACAGTTGGATCAACAGAAAGATGCTTCTCAAAATTAAAATGTATCCAAAAAAGTCCTGATTCATAGCATTTGCTGAATTTCATGGTGTAAATATTCTTACCATGGTCAATTTCATGCCACCAACGTGATGTCACTGAAGGCAGAGATGGGAAGAGAGGCCTAGTAGCATAACATTCTACCTAATCTCACCAGATACAGTAGATCTAGATAAGATCAAGAGTATATTAATAGTAAAATACAGTAAAATAATTGCAACATGAAGAATTTTGAACATTTATTATCTTTGTTTTTAATCTAATCCATATAATTACAAGTTTATATAACTACGTGTTTTATAACAGCTGTGTTTAACAACCAGCTTACAAAACTCCTAAATATTTAACAGTTTTTGTGAACTAATAGGAGTTGACTCTGGCACACTATCAGATGAAATGAGGTTGGTCATTATTGGTATCGTAATTTTGAATTTGAGTCTAAGTATGGGCAGAGGCAAAGGGATCGCTATCCTTGGGTAGTGAAGTAGTTAGCCTCACCTAAAGAGAGACCTGGCCTTTGCCTTAGCTACTAGAGATAATCTTTAGGCCCCTGGAATTTCCTGCTTAACAGAAGAGTCTTTGTTTGCCTAGGGCTTTGGCCACCAGGACAGTCTAACAATGTAGTTTATGACGGGAACTTTGGGTCACACAATATCAGCTCTGACTTCTGAGGGATCCGGCGACTAAAGATCTTAGCCTGACCTCTGGGAGGGGCTGATGACTAAGGTCAGCCATGCAGACAGTATGTGATGAGCCCCAATAAAAACTCTGGACAC